TCCTCCTCCTCCTCCTCCTCCTCCTCCTCCTCCTCCTCCTCCTCCTCCTCATCTTCCTCCCTCTCCTCCGCTTCGTCTCCCGCCCTGCCAGCACCAGCCGCTGGCAGACATCTCCGGGGGTGGAGCGGCGCGGGCGGCCATCCCCCCCCGCGCGCGCGTTGGCAGGCACGTTCACCCGCCGTCGGTGCAGCCCTTGCGGAGCCCCCTGGCCGACGTGGGCTTGTCCCGCACCTCTTCCCTTCCACCCCCCCCCATCCCTCGTTCCCACCTTCGCCCGAAGAAGAGAGGAAGACCGGCATATTCATAAACCGTTCTCGCTCCGCGCGGATTTCTTGGATCCGCGCTGGGCCCCCCCCGGCGGCGCCTGGGGCGCCTGGGGCGCCGTTCCTGGCGCGCTCCGCGCGCCAGGGAGGGAAGTCCAGCGCGCATCATACAAACAGGCGCGGATTGCCAACAGTTTCTAGGTGTGGCGTTTTCTTCTCCTAGCCCAGTCCTCACCTTCGCTGCCCCGACACGCCCGCCCTGAGGCGCAGCACGTGCTGTACTCTGAACGTCCGTGTGCAACGCGTTGCGTGCTGGCTCAGCGTGTTGGCCCACGTTTTGGCGAACGTATCGTTCCAGGCCCTTCTCTTTCAGTCTACGTGTTGAACTCCGTGTCGACACGCTTCGTGTAAGCTCCCCGCTCCTCTTCTCGCCTCCCTCTTCGTTCCTCCCTTCCCTCCTCGCTTCTCCACGCTCCTTTTGTCTCTTTCTTCCAACCTGATTCATGGCCAATCCGAGTCCGTCCTCGAGCCTGGCAGGCCGTTTTGCCCACAGCAAGAACAATTCCTCCGCGCTCCTCCTCGCTGTCTTCCTTGCCACCCCTCCTCGCTCCGCCCTTCCCGCTTTTCTCGCTCCTTCCTGCCCTCCCTCGTCCCCCCAGCCTCGCCGTCGGGGCCCTCTCCTCCGCCCCCCTTCCCCGGCGACGACGCCGACGGTGACGACCCCCGACGCCCCCCCCCCCCCCCCCCCACACGGTCTCGCCAGCTCACCCCTTGCCCGCGCCCAGCGAGCTCGGCTGCGCGTGGTTCAACCCTGGGGTGCTCTCCTTCACGCTCAAGGAGTTCGTCCTCTCACAGGCCTTCCCCCGGGCAAGAGAGGAGGGGCGTGCCTCCTCCTCGTCCTCCTCCTCCTCCTCCTCCTCCTCCCTCGCCATTTTGGCTCAAGGCTAGCAGTGCCATTGTGTAGCAAGGGGGTACCGCTGATCCCTGCAGCACACTCGCCCTGCCGTCCGTCAATACTCACCCGAGCCGCGCGCTGGTCCGCCTCAGGCGGCCCGTCTGCGCACTTTCTGTCATCGCGCTTCCTGTTGACGGCGCTGGTGACGCTGGTATGGTTGATGCCCTCGACCATGTCAGTACTTCCCCCATCTAAGGAGCGCTCCACAGGGAAAGGCAATGGCGGTGCATCTCGTAGCGGTGGTGGGCGGCAGCGACCACATGCCTTTCTGCGCAGAGGTAGTGGTGGTGCCGATGCAGATGAAGGTGTTGTCCTAGACGGGGGCGACGTAGTAGAGTCTGACGAGTACATCAGGCAGCGTTGCAGAAAATAGTCCACGAAGGCCAACGAGATCCTCACGACGGAGCTCACCGAGTCCTTGCTTGTCACAGACACTGCGAACCTCAAGGGACGTAAACCGTATTTGTTAATTTTCTTGCCATGCCCCACTCATTGGAGAAAAATATACCGACTGGGTTCTGCGTCGCGCGTCGGCTATCTCAACGTCTGCCCAAGTCGCCTCCGACCCGCGCGGAACCCGAGAGGCGTCAAGCGGCGCTGGCCTTTGGCCAGCAAGGCCAGGCAGGTCGCGGGAACGGGCAGGTTCGCGGGTGCCCGCCCAGCCTTGACTGCGACCCCCGAGGGCCCGATCGGGAAGGGCCCACAGGGCCGACCGACACCCCGATGTCTATATACGAAGGCGTTGCGTGACTCTTGCGTCAAACTTACATCATAGGTTAGAGCCCCGCCCACCCGACGTGAACTTCCTGCGTCGAATGCGTGCCAGCACGGCCATGCATCTTGCTTTGGTGTCGCCGCCCGCCCGAGACGACCGAACCTAGAGGGCAGGCTTACTCCTTGGCCTAGGGCTGCTGCCTTGTGCCTACCCATCGGTCCTACCCTCAGGCCTACCTTAGGCTTACCCCAGCACTTCCACCTTGGCCTGCCCCTAGGCCTACCCCCCCCAGGGCCTACCCCTAGGCCTTCCCTAGGTCTACCCCTGGGGCTTATCCTACGCTTACTGCCTTCGGCCTACCCCTAGGGCCTACCCTTCGGCCTACCTTAGGCTTGCCCCAGTAATCACACCTGGGCCTGCCCTAGGCCTTCCCCCAGGGCCTACCCCTTGCCAGGCCTGCTTTCTGCTTTACCCCATGGCAGGGTCTCCTTGGGCTGCCCTGTGGCCTAGGGCACGGTCTAGCGTAGCCTACCCCCTCTGGCTCGATACACCCCAAGCCGCACAGAAGCTCCGCCTCTCGAGTCGAAGCTCGGGCCCCGATCGCGCTCCTCCTGCCCCCCCTCCCTCCGCGCAGCGCGTGTCGGCGCTGCTCCGCCGGCCCCGGCCCAGCTGTGCGACCGGTGCCTGCAGCCAGGCCCCCCGCACGAGGGCAAGTCGGGGGCCACAGTCCGCGGCCCGCAGCGCGGCGCAGGGCCCGGCTCCGGGTCGCGCTGGCCCGGAGGCCTGCGGGGCGACGTGCGCACGTGGCGGGCGGCCTCCGCGGCGCGAGGGCCACGCCCCGCCATCACGGCCCGGCGGGGTCGCAGCCCCTCGTTCTGCTCTTCCCTCCTCGCCCCATGGCCTCCTGGTGATCTCCTTCCCCCCCCCATCCCCCCCCCCTTTGGGGGGGGGGGGGTTTTTGTTCCGTTTCTTCTCCGCCCACTTAATATCCTGGCTCCCCCCCACTCTCCCCTCCTCCTCCTCCTCCTCTCCTCCCCCTCCTCCTCCTCCTCTCTCCTCCTCCTCCTTCTCCTCATCCTCCTCCTCCTCCCTCCTCCTCCCTTCCTCCCTCCTCCTCCTCGCGTACTCCTCCCCTCCTCCTCCTCCTCCTTCTCCCTCCTCCTCCTCCTCCTCACTCCTCCTCCTCCTCCTCCTCTCCTCCTCCTCCTCCTCCTTCCTCCTCCTCCTCCTCCTCCTCCGCCGCCTTCCTCCTCTCCTTGTTTTCTTCCTAACTCGCTCCTCCTCCTTCTCCCCCTCCTCTCCACATCCTCCTCCGCATCTCCTCCTCCTTTGCATATTCCTCCTACTCTGTCTCCTCCCTCCTCCTCCTCCTCCTCCTCCTCCTCCTCCTCCTCTTCCCCTCCTGTTCCTTTGCTCCTCCTCCTCTCCTCCTCCTCCTCCTCCTCCTCCTTCCTTCTCCGCTTCCCCATTCTTCTCCAACTGGCCATGTTCCTTCGTATCGTTCTCCCCCCCTCTTCTCTCCTTTTCGTTGTCATCGTACTCGCCTCCGTCCCTCATCCTCCCTCCGTCATTCTTTCCCTTCTCCTCCCTCCCTGTTCCTCAACCTCCATCCCCTGTCCTCCTTCATCCGCCATCACCCTCATGCTTCCTGCCCCCTCCATCCATCCTCCTCCCTTTCCTCCTCCTCCTCCTCCTCCTCCTCCTCCTCCTCCTCCTCCTCCTCCTCCTCATCATCATCATCATCATCATCATCATCATCATCATCATTATCATCCTTCCCATTTCTTCTCTGTCCTCATCCCTCCTACCTCCTCCTTTCCCAATCGTCCTCCCTACCCCGAAGCGCATTGCGGGGCAGGGGCGACGGCGAGCGGCGACCGTGAGCAGCGACAACTACCAAAGCTGCCGCCGACGACTCGACACGACCACCTGCGATGACGAGGGCGGCGACAACGACGAGCAGCCGCGAGGACGAGCCGCCGTGACATCGACGGCGAGGGGGCGAGCGGCCTCGACGGCGAGCCGCCGACGACGAGCAGCAGCGACGGCGGCCTAGATGGGCAGACATGACCTCGCCCAGGCGAGCGGCGGGCGTGGCCGTGGCGGCGACGACGACGCGCGGCTGCCGGCGGCCCCGCGCCCGGAGAGGCCCCCGACGTGCGGGCCGCATGCCCGGGGCCGCCGCCGGGAGGCCCGGAGCCTCCCTCCTCCTCCTCCTCCTCCTCCTCCTCCTCCCTCCTCCTCCCTCCTCCTCCTCCTCCTCCTCCTCCTCCTCCTCCTCCTCCTCCTCCTCCTCCTCCTCCTCCCTTTTCCCCTCCCCTCCTTCCCCTCCTCCTCCTCCTCCTCCTCCTCCTCCTCCTCCTCCTCCTCCTCCTCCTTCTCCTCACAGCCGCGCCGCGCTCTCCGCCTTGGTCGGCGCGGGTCCCTGCCCGCACGCTCAGAGGCACCGGAGACCAGGACACAGACTAACCTTGGGGCTCAAGAAACGGGGGTCCACGCAAGCGGGGGTCAGCCAGAGCGCCCGATCTTGCAGGATCCTGCAGGGCCAGGGTCGCATTGACCCTGGTTTCGGCGCAGGATCCTGCAGGATTCTGCAGGATCCTTCGCATTGACCCGGGTTCTTATGCGCAGGGTCTCGCAGGATCTTGCAGGATTCTGCAAGTCCTGACTGACCCGGGGCTGGATTGACCCCGGACACAGGATCCCCGATAACCAGGGCATTTGCAAGGCAAGTCGGGGAAACGACACCCTTCCTGAAAAGTCAGCTGTGATCGTCCAGTGCCAGTTTTGGTCGCCGCTCTGCAGGATTCGGGCCTTTGTCCGGGTCTATCGGGAGTAGTTTGCATGCTTTGAGGGCCTGTGTCCCGGTCTATCCCCAGAAGGTGTTGCAGTGCAGTGTTTGTTGCGTGCCGCCGTATGGACAAAACGGTTCGAGGGATGGCGGCTGTTCTCGTCCAATGTGTCCAGCTCTACGGGGGCCCTGCCACTCCTCTGGTCAGGATCGAAAGAAGGACGTACACGTACATGAATCCACGCTGGTTTCGAGAGGACGCCTTGCCCAAAAGTTCGTATCACGCGGCCGGTCTCGCAGATCGAGGGGCCGTGTTCATGTACATAGCTGGGCGCGTACGTCCTTTGTGGGCTCCCTCTCTGGCGGCTTCCCTGGTCAGGGGCAGCGTCAGGGATGGTGGGGAACAGGCTCGGGGGGGGGGCGGCATCGTCAGTTCTCGGGAGCTGTGCCCAGTTTCCACGGCGTGCTCGGAAGTCTCGGAGGCCCGAGGAGGTTTGCATCCGCTGCGCCTCGTCGAGGGCTTCCCAGGGGTGCTGAAGAAGTCGTGTCTCGATCGGCCGCTGGCGCGCCGAGGCACGCCCCGAAGATCAGACGACGAGGATCACCGGGCGGGGAGTTCTTCTTTGGGGGGGCCACTCCCTCGCGGAAGCCGCGCTACCTCTTCCTATAGGAGTTGGCGACGCCACCAGGCCGTTGTCCCAACGTTCGGGAGGGATGGGCTCAGGATGTTCTTTTCCTGGCTCTCGGACGCTTGCGTTGGTCCCTGGAGGTCTGGTCTCGGGTGGCTCTCCCGCAGCTGCGCCTCGCTGGCGGCGTTCGAGGGGTGCCCAGAGATCGTCCCGAACGGCCGCTGGACATCCGAGGCAGGACCCGGAGAGCAGACGACGAGGATCGAGGATATGCTCCGGTGGTCTGTACAAACCCCCCATCCGGGCCTCGGAAGAAATTATCGGGAGTGGACAGAACCCTCACCCTGACACGTCGATTAGCGTCCGTTTTCGGTTCTCGAGGGGGTGCCGCGGCCGTCATTTTCCCGGCTTGCGGCCGCCAGATTTGGGCCCGAAGTCGTTTTCGCTAAACCACGTTTTACTAAAGGGAGTTCTGTCCATCCCAGAAATTAGCGAGCACTCATGCCGCATTCATCTGTCAAGGCCCCCCCCCAATGATTAATGTTGGGGGTGGGCTGAACGTCAAGGGCATAAAAAACGCCCCTACCCTGGTTTACGAGGCGCTGTGCGCTGAAACTCCTGTGGGCTGACAGGGTAAACCCTGCGTGATGTGCCGCGTCCTGGCGGCTCTAGGCTTTGGGGGTTCCCGGGAGGTCTACAGACCGCGCACTTGTAACCCAGGGTAGGGCCGTTTTTGCATCCCTCAAGAACGAGCTTCACTTCGACCGCAGCCTTCCCCGCGCGTGCCAGCTTGGGGTTGGGGGGGGGGAGCGGCGGAGGGTGCCCACTGATTGTTTCCCCCCGGGGCGTCGCACATCCATCGCCGATGGAGGCCCGATAGCCCGCCCCGTCCCAGGACCGTGCGGCCTCGCCGCCAGCTGCGGCCCACCACCGCGCTCAATCGGCGAGGCATGGCCGACGTCAGGTTTGATGCCTGCCCCCCGGAACCTATCGGGCCCCCTGACGCAGGGCCGGACCTCAACGGTGTTTTGGCGATTCCGTGGGCCGCTTGCGTTTCGATCTCGTTCTGCGGCAGAGGTGGATCGAAGCCAAAACGGAAGAAAACGAAAACAAAACGAAAACGAAGAACGCCGTTTAGGTTCAGCCCTGTCCTGACGTTCCGCCTACATTTTTTTGGAGGGCGGGGGCATGCGGGGTTGGAGGGTCTGAGGAGGCACTGCTGCCGGCACCGCTGCGCTTCCTGGGTCGGGCATGGCCAGGACCCCGGGTAAGGGGACCCCTGGTTCGTGGCAGGGCTCCGGGACCCCTAGCTTGGCCAGCATCACTAAGCCAGGTCTGCCGCAGCTGGTGCTGTACGGGTGACGGCAGTTCCGGTTAGTGGAACGGGGCTTGGGGGACGCCCCCCAGTACACATCACTACACCAGCCTCCTTGGGGGGTTGCAGGGGCCCAGGCTTCCCCCAAAACGGGTCCGAGCAGATGGGATCGGATGAGCGCGCCGCCTCGCGACAGCCGCTGCGGCTCTATAATTGTCGCTTGTCCCCACCACGACCACGGCTGCGATGCATCGCCCACGTATCGCCGATGCAACGGCGATGTGTCGGCGATGCGGCGCGATCCTCCGACCTTGAAGCAATGTCGAGGTGGCCGGAGGGAGAAGAGTCAGGAGGGAACAACGATACAGACACAAGTCATCGACGATTCCCAGGAAAACATCATATAATAGGGGAAGTGGGGGGAAGACGGAAATCTCAAAAATACGAAACATGTGCAGGAATCCTAGAATTTGTGTGTATTTATTTGCGTGTCCCTGGGCCTCTTCAGAGAGAGGATGGAGAGAACTTGGTCGGATGGAAAAGGAGAAGTCGAAGGATGGGCAGGAGTCGGAGGCAGATGGGGACCACAGCCAGGACCAGGAGCTGGAGGAGGAGGAGGAGGAGCAGGAGGAGGAGCAGGAGGAGGAGGAAGAGGATCTGGAGAGCGATGTGGCAGGCGACGGGGATGGGCACGAGGAGAACGAGGAGGAGCAACATCTGAGGAAGAGCAGCATCAGCCTGGGCAGCATCTGGGAGACTTGCAGCAGGAGCGGAGGAGGGATTCGGCATCGGACGTGGTGTCCGGGCAGTCGGCCCCGAGTGGGTGGGGCATGGCCGGGGCCGTCGTGTGTGGTGAACGGAGTCAGCTGGTATCGGCCGTGTTGGCGTGCTTGACCAAAGCGGCCTGGGCGCAGCCCGCGTCCTTGGCCTTCACGCGGCAGGGGCAGCCTTGAATGCGTATGTGCTTGGCCTGGTGCGCACAGCCGCACAGCAGGCCTGTGAAGACATACAGTGGAAGAGGGCGAGGAGGAGGAGGAGGAGGAGGAGGAGGAGGAGGAGGAGGAGGGAGGGGAGGAGGAGGAGAGGAGGAGGAGGAGGAGGAGGAGGAGGAGGAGGAGGGAGGAGGGGAGGAGGAGGAGGAGGAGGAGGAGGAGGAGGAGGAGGAGGAGATGAGCGAGGAGAAGGAGGAAGAGGAGGAGGAGGAGGAGAAGGAGGAAGAGGAGGAGCGAGGAGGAGGGGCGGGGAGGAGGGGGAGGAGGCGGAGGAGGAGGAGGAGGAGGAGCAGAACGGAGGGCCAGCATCGACAGAATCAGTCCGTCGCCCCCAGCGCCCTCTCTTCACTCTGAAGCTGCTCGGAAGGGGGCTGCGGTTACGGCCACGTCGACGCCCGAGGGCGGCGGCGACGACGAGGACCGCGACGGAGGCGGTGACGGCGACCGCGACGGGGCGGCTGCGGTGGCGGTGGAAACGGCGACGACCGCGGTGGAGGTCGGAGGAGGAAAACGTACACATACCGCTACCTATCCTTCGTTTTCGCCTTTTGGGGCCTCCTCGGAGGCCCTCGTCGTCACCGCTGGATTCGCTTCTCAATTTTGGTCACACCCCGGGAGAGGTCGGGGAGTCGCGGTATCGGTACCGTTTGGTTTTCCCAGGAGACGGCGGCAGCGGCGGCTCAGTCGAGGGCGATTGCGACGACAGCGATGACGGCGGCGACCGCGACGGCGTCGGGGCGACGACTCCGGCGTATTGACTTTCTGGATGAGTGGGCCTTTGGCTCACGAACTCGTCCATGGGACCCGTGTCTCACCTAGGACACTGTTTTCTGAGAGTCTTGGGGCCAGAATTGGAGTACGGGATCGTCTACTGATTTACCCCAAACTTGATTTTTTCGTCGAGTCAGACGTAGGGTGTTTGTAGATCTACGAGCGTTCTACGCATGTCCCATGGATTCGACGAGGAAATCAATTTGGGGGTGAATCAATTCTGTAGTCGATCCCCTACTCGAAGAATAAAGGTGGAACAACCCGACGCTGCAATTTCTGAGGACCCCGGGCTTTCAGAGGTCCCCAGACGCCTCTCCAGGGGTGCAGTTTGACCAGGGCGACCAGGGCCTCGAGTCGAGTCCAATCGTGGCCACGAGAGTGCCCTGGGAGGCCTCGATCGTCAAAGCTGGGCGCGATTGCTTCAAGACGATGGAACCCCCAGGAGTTCAGATCCTTCCTCCAGGGACCGCTCTGTCTCCCCAGGGCGCTGCCTCCCTGGACCTCCTCTACAACACCCTCGCCCGAATCCTAATCTGAGGCGTCAGGACACAGCTCAAGACAGTCCAACCAGACCAGCAGGACCAGATCTGAAGCTACCAGCTCAAGCTTAGGCTCAAGCTTCAAGGTTGCTCTTTGCAAGCTTGGCGTCCCGCCGTGCTCTACACGGCTTTGAACTTCATTCAAACAGTCCTCGGGCCCGAGACGGTGCCCCCCGAGGCCGAGGGTCGGACCAGAGATACGCCAGCAGCGACCGAGTCGTGGTCCTCGCTGTTTCGCCCTGGAGGCCTGCGAGCTTCTAGGACGCTTCCGTGAGGGGAGGCCGTCAGCGCAGCATTGCAGCATCAGATCCAGCAGAGCGACAGCCGACAGGCCCAGCAGCTTCTGGCGGAGTGGTGCTGCGCTCGGGGCAAGGGACAAGTCGGGAGGGATAGAAACACACAGGCGCAAATAGCCGTCGATCCGCAGGAGAGTATGGAAACTGTGGGAGGTGGCGTCTCGAAAACATAGAAACATATTGGGAGTCCTGGGAGTTGTGTCTCCTGCGAAGGCCTTTCGGCCGGTGCTGCCGACTCTTAATGGCGACGACGACGACGACGACGACGACGACGATGACGACGACGACGACGACGACGACGACGAGCGCTCTCAACGACGACGAGCGCTCTCGGGGGCCTCGTGGGAGGCTCATGGGGGCCGCCTGGGGGCCGTCGCTGGGGCGCGACCCCCCCCCCCCCCCCCCGGCGGGGGAGTCGCACCTGAACTGCGACTCCCCCTCCCAGGGGGGGAGAGTCACATCCGGGCGGCGACCCCTGGACCCTCCCGGGGTCCCTTGGACCTCCCAGGGACCCCCCCCCCCGCCCCCCCTCCCGGGACCCGCCCTGGGACCCCCCCCCCCCCTGGCGGGGATCGGGGGCGGCAAAGAGGGGGCTGATGAATAGGGGGGGGGATATCATGGCGGGGCCCATGATCTTTCCCCAGAGTTCATGGCGCCTTATTTCATTACGTCCCTGGCCCCCCCGTTGGGCCGCGCACATGCCGCCGGTCATGATTTGCACCCCCCCCTCTTGGACGCCCCCCTCTTGGCCGCTCCCGAGGGGAAGGGGCTTCCCTTCGACGCAACGGCAGCGTTGCAGATTCTGCTGTGGCGGGCGCGCTCGAGGAGGAGGGCCCGGTGAAAGCGAGGGGAGCGACGACGGGCCCAGGGAAATGGGAGGGGAGCGGCAAAAGAGGCGATGACGACGACGACGACGACGACAACGACGAGTCAAACAGAGAAGCCTCTTCCACACGCCAGCAGGGTCGGCGGATTCATGTATGTGTCTCTGGGCCCCTTTGACAAGACCAATCGGTCTTCGCACGAAACAGACGGGTCCTGGGCTTCCCTGGGCGTTTCCTGTGAGGCTCTTCAGCCCGAGCCTTTCCTTCTTCTTGGACATGGCCCCAGGAGACCGAAAACGGGCCAATATTTTCCGCGGCTTGCGGTTTTCGAACCGCCATCCGGTTGAGCTCAATAAAGTTTCAAGTGGGATGCCAAACCCCAAATAGCCCTGCGCCCCGCTCGCGAGGCACCTCCTCCGCAACATTGTACCAGGCTCCACGTCCCTGACGGGGCGACTAGTGACGCGTGCTCGCAGTGCGGACGCAGGATGCAGCCAACCCGCACGGGGAATTCAATGGCGCCGTATAGCCATATTCAGATCGACGCATCATTCGTCGCGTGGGCGCGGGAGCCTGCATCCCTTCCTGGATCCCTCGGCGCCGCTCTGCCCCTGGCCGAGGACGGCCCTGGCAGCACGCCGACACCTGGAGACGTGTGGTCCATGGGTTTTTTTGCCAGGGTCGGAGGAGGAGGAGGAAGAGGAGGAGGAGGAGGAGGAGACCCCCGGAACGCCATCGGCGAGCCGCAGCTGCGGGAGAGCATCCCGAGGCTGGACAGCCGCGGGGAGCCCACGAGAGCGCCCGAACGCCTCGGACCTCGAGCACCGTTTCTCTCAGAGCCCGCCCCTTGGCATCGCTCGGACGTGTGCATTTTTCCTTCGGCGAGGACCATCGAGGAGCATCCTTGATCATTTGGCGAAAAAGCCACGCACGAAACCGAAAAAAACACAGTGAGTGGACGTCCGAGCGATGACCAGGCCCGCTCTGTGGCGACCCACCGCTCCCTGCAGTCGGACCGCTGCAGAAGGCACCCTTCTCGTTGGGGAGGGGCTCAGTGTTCCTTCCGTTTCGGTCGGCTCAAAAGGGGGTCCCCTTGAAAGGGGGTGGTGCAATAATTAGAGATGGGGCAATTGTGTTGCAAGTGTACTGCGCCGGAGACTTGTATTGCATTGTATTGCGACGAGTGTATTTCACGCGAGAATCCAGCAATACATTTGCGCCCCGGACTCTATTGCACGCCCAAAATGTCTTGCAGCCTCACAAATCGACTGCACCAATTCTATTGCACCACACCCTTGTCGCTGGACCTTTGGGTCAACCCGATTCCTTGTTTCACAGCCTATCTTGGGATCTCCGGAGCGCTCCCGTGGGAGGCCGGAGTCCGACTCATGTAAAAACAGAGGCGGGGCGGGGCGGGGCGGGGTAGGGCGGGGCGGGGCGGCGTCGTCGTCGTCGTCGTCGGCGGCATGCTGTAGGGTTCCTGATGGCAGCGTTTCGATCGTATTAGTCAGGGGGAAAAGAAACACACAGACACAATTAATCGTCGATCCCCCAGAAAATATGGGAAAATATGGGAAGTGGGGGGGAAGACAGAAACCCAGAACATATTGGAAAATATGGGGAGTCTTCTTACTTGCGTGTATCTATTTGTGTGTCCCGGGCCCCTGCAATTAGGCGACGCGGCGCTCCTGCCGGTCCCGCAGCAGCTCGCGGCCGGCTGCTTCGGGCTCATGGCCGCGGCGCTGGCCACGCTGCCGCTGCCGAGGACCGCCGCGGCGCCGCCGCCGCCGTCAGCGCCACTCCTCCAAGGGGGGCGGCGAGAAGGCGGGGCGAGGGCAGATCATCAGAGGAGGAAAGACTACCCATACCGCTACCCTTAAGTCGGGCCTGTCCCCCTACAGGGGGATTTTCGACGAAAAATGAAACATACCCCAAAAATATTCCAGAAAGGTCAAACAATATTCCAAACAGACTTTTTTTTAATTCTTATTTTTGATTTTTTTTATTTTCGTCGAAAATCCCCCTGTAGGGGGACAGGCCCGACTTGCCGCTACCCTTCTCTCGTTCTCGCCTTTTTGGGCCTCCTGGGAGGCCCTCGTCGCCAGCGCTGGATTCTCCTCAAAGGTTTTAGTCAGAGCGCGCCCCGGGAGAGGTCTCGGAAGTAGCGGTATCGGTAGTACCTTGTGTCAGCGGCGAGCGAGGGGGGGGAGTGAGAAGGAGAGCGCCCTCTCAGAAGGCTGCGGGACTTCTCAGAAGCCCTCCGGCCTTCTGAGCGATGCTTGCTGTCTTTGAGGCGGCCAAAAGCGGGGCGATGATCAACCATCAGAGGAGGAAAAGAAACGGTAGGTTTTAGTCGGGCGTGCCCCCCGACAGGGGGATTTTCGACGAAACAATAAAGAAATACGACAAAAGCATCCCAACAGAATCCAAAAATGTTCGAATCGAAACATAGCTCCCGACTGTTTTTAACTATTTTCGAACGCTCCCCCTGTAGAGGGACAGGCCCGACTTGACGGTAGGCTCGCGTCGTGTCGGCTCGCGGCGACCCCGCCGCGGGCGTCCGAGGTCGAGTGCCGCCAGTGGCCCAGAGTCGGCTCAGCATGGAGCGATCTGGCAAGCGGCACGCCGCCGAGCGATCAGGGTTGACCGAACCACGCGATGTCGGCGGGCGAACAGGACTGGTGTACCCAAGTTTAACGTGGGACTTACATAGGTCATTCGGCGGTGAGACCAGGGGACTTGCAACGGAAGAAGAAGTACAGTCGAGCACATGCGGGTGACACATTCACCGCAACTGCAAAGGTTTAGTTCCAGACGGTCGCTGCGCGCGTCGCTCGCGCACCCGTTCGATCACCCTTCCGCGCATCCGTCCCCGCACCCTTCTTATCCCCGAGAGTTCCACGTCTAAGTTGACCATACAAAACAGGACTATGCACATGCACCGATGCACCGATCCTGGCAAGGCCCATCCTTGACCCAGGATCGGTGCAGATGCCTTCCTGGCCAAGGCAGGAGGGCGCATGCACCGATCCTGGGCTCAGGATGGGCCTGGCCAGAATCGGTGCATGTGCATAGTTCTTTTCCTTCTATGTCAGAGACCAACGCTGGAGTCGTCACGACGCGAACCCGCCGTACCCATGCCGCTGGCCTTCCTTTGTTTTCCTTTTTTTTTGGGAGGGGGGGGCGGATGTCATGGCAAGGGCCGTCGGATCTCCCCGGATCTCATGCCCCTCCCTCTTCTTCTTTCCACGGCGTCCCGTGGTCACCCCACTCGGCCGAGCACGTGCCTGGGGCCATGCTTTGCGACACCCCCCTTTTGGACGCCCCCCTCACCTAGCACAAGCCTCTTCAACATTGGAAGCCCCCTTGCGAAACCCTCCTTTTGGAAGCCCCCTTTTGGACGCCCCCCTCATCTATCCCATCCCTCCTTTGGACGCCCTTTTACAACCGCGCGACTCAGCACCCAGCCCACGAGCATTCGGCACCTGGGATTCAGCCCCTATAGGGGCTAACGAGGAAGTGCAAGCACGAGTCTCAGGCGAGGGAACGCTGCAGTAACGCATGTCAGATCGAAGGCTTGCTCCTGCTCCCCTCCCTAGTCCTCCCCGCCCCCGATCCCGGGCCTGCCGATGATCCACAGGACGTGTGTTAGCCCAAGCGGTCTATCCCGCTCGGTTCCGCCGCTAGCGCGCAGCCTATGTCGGCCCTCGTTGCGCCGCCTGCGCCGTATCGGAGGGCCTCGGTGGACAAACACACGTTGACGCCTACACGCGCCCTGAGGATCATCGAGCCTGGCCCGCCAGCTCAGAGGAGGAACGGGTGCCGCTCCCCGTCGGCTCCGCCCTTTTTGCTGGGGCCCCCCTCCTCGCCGTCGCGGCCGGCTTCGCCTCGAGATCCCTGCCAGGAAGCACCCCGAGAGCGGCCCGGGGAGCAGCGGCATCGGCACCTCCTGGCCCCTCGCACCTTCGGCGGAGGTCGTTCCTTCTGTCGCTCTCGGCCTCCGCGGGTCGTGCTCGGGCCCCGGGTCCAGCAGCAAGGGCACCGGGGACGAGAGGCCTCGGCGGGGAGGGGTCGAGAGATCGGGGGCCAGCGCACCAGGAACGGCGCGGTCTTGGATCTGGGGGGGGCCTGGTCTTCCAGCTTCACGGTGCGGTCGTGGTGGCCGCTCTTCGTTTCTTGGCCATCACCGGCGCAGCCCTGGACCGGATCCCCTAGCGTCGCGAATTGAAACACGTCTGCCGTTCCTCCTGCGTTCTGTCCCGTAGAAGGAGCCGATGCACCCTACCAGGGCAGAAGGTGGCAGTCGCGAGGCCGCTTTTGTCGGCGGAACTCCAGGCCGAATCTCGGCGATCCACGTTTTCGCCCTACTCCTGCTGCTGCCTCCACTTCTGGAGGCCGATTGGTAGCGCCTGGATAGAAAGCTCGACCTTCAGATGCTGGATATTTTACCCATGCCCCCACTGCGGCCCTCGTGGGGTTGGGGCGTGAGCAGTTGTATGAATAAGGTGTCGACCGCCTACAATCCCCCAGCGTCACGAGAGGGTCATGGCGTCCGTCGTTTCTATGTTCCTGGCACCTGGAAGTCCAATCCGGCCCCTGCTGCTATCGAGAGAGAGAGAGAGAGAGCGCGAGTGACAAACTTGACCTCTCGATGGTGTCGAGACGTATGGGGGGCCCCATGTCACGAATCGTCGGCAGGGTGAGGCGCTTGGAAGCGCTTGGCTCCTCTGATGTCTCTGAAGCCTTCCTCTCGGGCCACTAGCTTTCGCACTTCGCACCGCGTCTTCATCGGCGGCGGTGGCGGAGGGGCGGCTGGCTGCCGCTGCCGAGGACGGACGGCGAGGCCATCGTGTCCGTGCAGCCCTCGAATCGCGCGGGCTACGGCTACCTCCCGTACGCGGCCGGGGGCGTGTTGTGCCTCTCGATCTTCGGCTCCGACTCCTACACCCTATTCCCGATGGTGTTGTCCTACTGCCTGCTCGTGTTCACCATACGCCCGTTCCTGGTGGGGAAGCAGGTCCTGCAGGCCCTGTCGGGCGAAGAACACGGTACAGTGGAGACCCGTGCCAAGAAACACCCTGCTTGCCTCCGGGGTGCCCTGGGCTTCGGTTCTGCTTTGGAGAGCGTGGCGTTCCCACACCAGAAGTCAGTGGACGTCCTGGGGCCTCAGCGCGGGGTTTCGTCGTGGAAGGTTTCTTGTGGGTTGGCCTCCGCTGCAGCACATATTCTTTGTTCCGCCGTCTGGGCCGTCCCCGGGGCCGTCGCTGGAAGATTTGATCGCCTGCAGTGGCGTAGATGGGGGCCTTGAATTGTCCAGCCGCCATCCGGGACAGGCGGCCCCGATCGCGGCAAAGTGTGCCCAACCATCCTGTGGTGCTGGGCCCTCGTTTGGAAGAGGCAGCGGCTTTGAAGAGACAGCCCTCCGTGCCCATCCCTCCTCCTCCTCATCGTCGTCGTCGTCGTCCTCCTCCTCCTCCTCCCATCCATGCCCCTGCCCCCCGCATGTCAAGCATTCCGCATGTCAACCATGTCTCACCACCCAGAGCAACGCGCCGTGGCCCCATAGGAAACTGCACAGAAGAACGTCCCAGGGGCGACGGTCACATGCGATTCCCCCAACAAGTACAGCTCTTCGTGGCCCTGTAAGAAGCTCCACCGAAGGCCCCAGAGGGACGTTCGCATGCGGTTCCCCCCACCCAGGTGTCCGTGGCCCCATAGAGAGCTCCATCGAAGGCCCCAGAGGAAGATTTCCCATGCGGCCCCCCCACCCAGTACAGCGTGTCCCGGCCCCATCGGGAGCTCTTCCGAAGGCCCCAAAGAGAGCGTTCGCTTGCGGTTCCCCGACCCAGTACACAGCGCTTCGTGGCCCTATAGGGAGCTCCACAAGGGCCCAGAGGGAGCGTTCGCATGCGGTGCCCCACCCTGTGCAGAGCGCTTCGAGGTCCCATAGGGAGCTCCACCGAAGGTCCCTGGGGGAGCGTTCGCATGCTGTTCCCCCAACGAGGACAGCGTTTCGTAGCCCATCGTGGCCCCATAGGGAGCTCCACCGAAGACCCTAGAGGGAGCGTTTGCATACATACGGTTCTCTCACCCAGTGCTTCGTGGCCCTAGAGGGAGCTCCACCTAAGGCCCCAGAGGGGCTTTCGCATGCGTCTCCCCCGCCCAGTGCAGTGCTTTGTGGCCCCATAGGGAGCTCCACCGATGGCCCAAGAGGCAACGTTCGCATGCGCTTCCCCCTATCCAGTACAACGTTTCCTTGCCCCATGGAGGGCTCCACCGAAGGCCTCAGAGGGAGCGTTAACATGCGGTTCCCCCATACAGTACAGCGTTTCGTGGCCCCATGCGGAGCTCCACCGAAGGCCGCAGAGAGACGTTCGCACGCGCGTCCCCACCCATGACAACGCTCCGTGACGCCATGGGAAGCTCTACCGAAGAAGATCCCAGAGGCGACTTTCGCATGCGGTCCCCCTACCAAGTGCAGCGCCTCGTGGCCCTATAAGAAGCTCAACGAAGGCCCAAGAGGCAGCGTTCGCATGCGTCTACATCGCCCAGTACAGTGCTTTGTGGCCCCATAGGGAGCTCCACCGATGGCCCAAGAGGCAACGTTCGCATGCGCATCCCCCATCCAGTACAACGCTTCGTTGCCCCATGGAGGGCTCCACCGAAGGCCTCAGAGGGAGCGTTAACATGCGGTTCCCCCATACAGTACAGCGCGTCGAGGCCCCATGCGGAGCTCCACCGAAGGCCGCAGAGAGACGTTCGCACGCGTGCCCCCACCCATGACAACGCTCCGTGGCGCCATGGGAAGCTCTACCGAAGAAGGTCCCAGAGGCGACGTTCGCATGCGGCCCCCCTACCAAGTGCAGCGCTTCGTAACCCTAAAAGAAGCTCAACGAAGGCCCAAGAGGCAGCGTTCGCATGCGCCTACCCCGCCCAGTACAGTGCTTCGTGGCCCCATAGGGAGCTCCACCAAAGGCCCTAGATGCGTCGTTCGAAGGGGTTTCCCCCGCTCATTTCGACACATCCCTCACGCGTTCCGTGGCAACATAAGGAGCTCCACCGAAAGCGGTATTCACAAAGCGGTATTCACAATTGCATCTGATTGGGTCTTTCGCCGGGATAATTTTGTGCCAGCCTTCGCCCGCCCAAGGACGCTACCACCTGGCCGCAGGATCTTGGCCGCCAGCTGCTGGGGTCGGCGCTGATCATGGTGAGTTTCGCGCTGCTGTTCCCCAGCTCGCTGGCAGAGAGCTTCTGAGTCTCTCGGAGCTTGCGGACGATGCTCCGTCGAGACGGGGCCCAGAGAGCCACGGCAACAGAAAGCTGCACAGATCGATCGGGCGCGACAAGTGCTGCAGGATGGTGGGCTCTAGGGCTCTGGTCGCGAGTTGTCACGATGTCGTATTGTTGTGCGACGTCTGGTCTCAGGGAACTTGGGACTCCCGACGTCCACGGACGGACGGCAGGCGCCTGGCTGCGCCGGGCTTCCCTGCACCCGTCCCGGGCGCCCGAAGCGGCGCCGCCGGGGGCGGTGCCGGGGCGCCGCTCGGGGTGTGGGCAGGGGCCTCGGCGGGCATCCGAAGCTCACGTTGGCGTGGTTTCCTGGGCCCGCTGTCTGTGACACCGGCGGGGTGGAGGTCGTGTTCGCGGAGGTGCTGGTCAGGAGAAGGCCAGCTCCCCGACGAGTTTTTAAACAGCCGCGCGGCGCGCGGTGAGCAGGCGTGCTCGAGCACCTTGTGACGTTTACTTCCGTGGAGTCCAAGCACTGGCGTGCCCAAGCCGACGACCCATCAGCACTGTCACTTCCCCCCTCTTGTTCCTCCCTCGTCCTCCCTCAATATGTGCTTCATCCTCTCTCTCTCCCTGAGCCTTCCCCACGGTGCTTCCTCCCAGGCGCCCGCTTCCCAGGCTCGAGACGCACTGTGGAAGGCGACTCCCTCCTCGGGGTGTGTTGCGAGCTGGGCGGCGAAGTTTCTGGACGCTTCAAGGAGAGGGCAGGACGACAATGTGGAGGAGGAGGAGGAGGAGGAGGAGGAGGAGAAGAAGCAAGAGGAGGATGAGGACAATGTGGGAGGCGGGTGTGTAATGGGGAGTGTGGAGGACCTGGGAAGACCAGGGCGAGACCGAGGAGGCAACGGATAAGAAGCCCTTCGGATCAGCCCGATTTGAGCATCATACATGGTTCTGGCGTTCGGAGAGGTGTAAGGATTTTTTCATGAAAGGCGTGGGCGGTCGAAGTCTACGCTAGTTAGTTTTGGTAGATGGACCAGGGACCGATGCAGGCTGAAACAGTTTCAAGTTTGCAGTCTCGGCTTTGTTTTATCGGATTGTCGACGGAATTTTCTGTTGCGACCTTGTGTTGGGTATTCATGGATGACCCGGCGGGCAGAAGCGCGTGAGAGTGCCAGTTGCCATGGGCTAGCGGATGAAGACAGCCTGGCGCACGATTCGACGTTTCGGCGTATCGGTAATCGTTCTGCAGTGTCGCGTTGCTTGCTGATGTTGTGAGGCAGTGCTGCTGCGTTTGCAGCCTGCTGGTGTCACAGAGCTTGAGATAAGGCCTGTCTCCACTGGAAAAAAAAGGTTGCCCCCGATGTCCTTAGAGTATTTTTGAGTCGAGTTGCCTCGCACTTGAACTTACCCATGTTGGAGTGCCTCTCCGTGTGCATGCTGCTACTTTCTCGACCTCTCCCGGGGTGAGTTCTGACTAGACGTTCGAGGCGAACCCAGACGTGGCGATAAGGGCCTCACAGGATGCCCACAACGGTGAAAACGGGACAAGGGTAGTGGTAGCGGTACCTGTTCCTCCGCTGACCTGCCTCAGGCTCTGCAAGATCTTGTGGTGATTACCCCCTGTGCCGGCGGAGGCTTGGTCTATCTTTGAGGTCGCCAGTTCCCATGCAACATTCCACCTCGAACGTCTACGTGCTATGAGCGGGTCGCCAAGGTGTGTGAGGGATTGGTGTCACATGTTGCGTCGGGACATCCCAATTCGCCACGGCTCTCGCTCTAGTTTACCATCTTTTCTGCATGCTGCGGCACTGGATCCGCTACACGGCTGGCAAGACTGAGCATCAGAGGGAGCCCACATCTAGCTGGAGGAGGACGGCGACGACGACGAGGAGGAGCAGGAGGAGGAGGAACACTCTTTGGCCTCAGGGGTTATCCTCAAATCTTCCTCGTGCGCAATGTCTCGAGCTCATCGTGTGCATTCGCCGCATCAGCACTTGCCGAATTCTATTTATGTTTGTTGCTGTGTATCTGCGTATACACGGATGGATCGTTCAGTAGGTCTATGCATGTGTATATGTATACACATATATATAGCAAAACGTATACATAGGTGGTTCGATTACGGTCGTTTTTTTCACAATCTCATGTCAGTCTCATGTCTCTATCTTTCCACATAGAAACGGAGCTATTCCGACGAGCCCCTATCGAGAATGTACGCCCCTCCATTGTATGTCCCAGGGCTGGGCCCACTCGAAAATTCCACGAAGCCTGGGATCGGGGGTCAACATATCTCCCGTCAGAGACTGCGATGCGCTTGTGCTTCGTGTCGTGCATCCCGTCCTGTTTGCAGAACCTCACCGTTTCGGTTATCTCCTCGACGGTCAGGCCGTCCCGCGTCGTCTTGTGCTGCGGAAGCTCCAGCAGCGTCTCCTGGCCGACCGCGGCGCCTCGGCCGATCAGGGCCTGCACGCTGCACGATGCCCATACAGATGTCAACGCACGGGGGCCCCAATGTATGGCACTCCCTTGTTGCTTTTTGCGGATGGATCTCTCAAGCTCTCCGCCGCTTCTGGCGGTGTGCAGCAAAGCCACAGGAAAGCGCGGCACGTGCGAGTCGTAGTTCGCGCCCTGCCCGGACATCTTGAGTATCTTTGGCGCGCCCGCCAGAAGCACAACCGTGTCGAGCAGCACGCCCTCGATGCTGCGCCTGTGCTGCGACGAGCTCAGAAGCATGTTCGGCATTATGCTCATGAGCGCCCTCTCTAGACGCCGTAAGGGAAAACCCCGGGCGTGCGGCCGTGCGCCCGCTGTCGAGAAAGACGTGGGAACGGCACCACGGGCAGACATCGGTCCCTACGCATGCACTCAGTGGTTGTTTCTTCCATCGTTGCCGGGGAGATTCGGGGAGATTTGCTCGGACTTGGTGGCAAAGCAACGCGCGTTTGCTATGTAATGCCCTACCCGCACGCAGCGCCGTCCTCCCTGTGCAGTTCGCATCGGGAGCTCTTTGTGGCATCGGCCGATTTACTCACGAGCTTGGGCACAGAGTCCGCCTCGCTCCCCAGCAAGACCGCCTGCCGCAAGACCGTCGCATCGATCCGTCCGAAAAGGTCTCTAACGTCAGGATCCTTGAAAGGAGCGTGCCAGGAATAAATGCGAGCCTCCCGGACCTCAACAAAAAGACGGTCTCCGACAACCCCGAGAAGAGCTCGTCGAATTATGCCGCGAGCGGAGACAGCAATCACTTGAGCATGAACTGAAGGCTGGCGAATCACCCCCTGCTGCCAAAGCACGCGACGAGGGCAGACTACAAGCCGAAGCGGAAGCAACCTCCATCGTTTTCGCACCGCCTCGTTCGATATCGACCTAGTCTCCCCGTCCTGCGCCTTCCCCGAAGCCTTGCCTTGCATAAGAGTCCTCGGCTAAGAGCATAGTTTTCTTTCCAGGGCTTGGTACTCAGCGAAGCTGAACTGACAAGTTTCCAGCCCCTTCAGGCTGGCGCCCACAACTTTAGCTGTACAGATATGCTGTCTGAGTTTGAGGGGGGCACGGGGATGCCAAAACGTCCCCATGTGCAGCCATCCCGTTATCATCGCCCTTCTCCGAACATGCTCCACGAAAAGCGCACCCCCCTCCGGTAAGGGGACAAAAAAGTGAAACCCCTTCGTCTTCGGCCCCGCAGTACCCCCCCCCTTCCCCCAATTTCAAAGTTGGGTTCGGCCTCTCGGAGGCCCTGGGGGTTCCCCTTTTTTTGTCCTCTCACGCCTGTGCTGCCAACTGCTTGAGGCCAACTTTGAAATTGGGGGGGGGGGGGGCGTGGTGTCAAGGGTTCCACTCTGTGGTCCCTCTGCGGCCCCGTTGACGGCGTGCGTGAGCAACGACGCGACCGCGCTCCGCAACGACGCGAGCGGACCTCTCCGGGCAGGCCCTCTTGGGCGCTGCACACGTGGGCGGCAGCCTGCGGACGACGGCCCCTGCCCGGGGCGGCCCCGTGGCTCCCCGGGGCTGCGGCTGCGCCCGAACGCGGCGAGGGCTCGCGCCGCCGCGGGCCAATGTGCGGTGGGGGCGCCGTGCCAAGGAACCGGTGGGATTTTGCGAGGGGGCCCTGGGCTTCTTGGATTTCGAGGGACCCCCAACAAGATCTTGGCGATTGTCGATCGGCGAACGATTTGTCTTCTCACCGGGCAAGTCGCAGAATTCAGGGTTGGGCTTCTTGCGAAGGGTTCTTGTGGTCGAGCCCCCACTGTACACGTGGACGATCACACCCTGCCTCCCGGCATACGGGGGTATCTGCTTCTCGGAGCGCCCAGAGGCAGGCGGTGCACTCGCGCACAAAGGGCACAGCTGGGGGGCACCTCTGTGGGCGACGGAGCCGGCGAACGCAGACGGCGCAGCGAGGCGCGAGTACCAAGTTCAAGGGGTGGCATGTGCGTCAGTGTCCTTGGCATTCGCGCCAACGTGTTACCAGTGGGCATGGCCGAGTTCTTCGCCGTCTGGAAGGCCCTCGAGCGTGCCAGCTGTTTCACCCGTGTGGCTACCAACTACCTCGCGATGTCGAAGGCGATCCGCAAGTGGTTGGCCCAGTGCACGGCGGCGACGCGTGCCAATTTCGACACTCGGGGGTGGCAAAGCATGCATTTATTCGAGCATCGTCGCCAGTCTCAAATCGGTCCACAGAGCAAGCTGGCTTTCGGAATGCGGGTTGAGAGATCAACTTCTTCCTGCGCCTCCTGGTCTCAGACAGCGCGCGAAGTCTCTTCATGTGCCGAACCGCCCCCTGTGGTCGCACGTGCTGGGTTTCCCTTACTTGTAGAAGCGCATTTGCGAAAGAGGTCCGCAGGATGTTTGTCGCTACTTTTTGTGGGAGGGTACACGTTTTGGAGGAGGACGTGGCGGGTGATTCGGAGTTAGAGCAGCCATCTCAAATGGTCTAGGCACAATTCCGCCTTTTCTGAGGTGCGTTCTTCATGTCTTCTGGCACGTGTCTCAGGTGGCATCTTCCAGATAGCCGCATTTCCCTGGCGCGCATGTCAATATACGCTCCCGGTTTCAAATTGGATCCGAGCATGAAGCCGGCGCTTGCTCGTCATCCAGCTCCTTCGGAGCCATTATTCCGCCAGTGCCCGCCAGAGAGAAATATGTGGGCACCGAACGCTAGCAGCGAAAGACATGCTGTAGCCTTCAGACCAGGGGCCCAAGACCCTTGCCGCGTTCCTTCTCTGATGCTTTCCCCCCCCCCCCCCCCTTCTGTGTTTCGCCTGTGGTGCAGTCTGGCCCCAAGCTGAGCCTCAGCTGACCATCCCAATGGCTCCAACGTGCTGCAGTACCATCCGAGGGCGTACTTTGGAGTGCGGTGCGGTCAGGCATCATTGTGTGCAAACACACCGAGTGAGACCCCCGCACAAGTCATTACGGATAGCTGACATTCCGAGTTACGTCGACATCCAACATGTGTCATTCCCACTGCTTGGAGTTAGCTCTAACATCTCCTGCAGGGAGACGGGGCCCAGTGTGCTTCTGCTGACACCTCCGCCATCCGCGCCCACGTCGCAGAAGGAGCTTTTTCTTCACTTCAGCTGCAAAGTTCGGAAACTTCTGGTAAGTGTGATTTCTGCGAGGGTCATGGAGGATCTCTCGGATGGCTGGAGTCGATCTGCGGAACATAGTCCCATTGATATGCTAAGGACGAGCGATGCTATACTTGTCCCTCTCTTCTTCGCGCCTCCGTATCTCGGGCGTACCACGAAATTGCGAAACTCACGGTGAAACTTATGGTGCAACCCAGAACGCTGCCGATTGGGCAACAGGATGTGCAACCGACAGTGCAAACTCTGCCGCAACCCATGGCTGGACCCACGCTGGAACTCAGTGTGCAATGAATGGTGTAACCTATCGCGCAAGCTAAGGTGCCACCCATGACGCAACCTGCTGCGGCGATCACTGGTGCAACCTGGGGCACCACGCCCGCCCCCTGCTCGTCATTTGTGCTTCGGGCCGCTCATGCCCGAACGGCGAGCTAGCCTGCCATCCTCGTTGTCATCCTCCCGCTCGAGGCTTCTCGCGACTATGTGGCAATCGGCAGCGGTATGCTTTGCTTTGCTTCTCTCTCCTGTTGCACACATCCTCGGCGGCGCGCTTCGAGAGGTACCGCGGGCATCCGGCTTGCTTGGCGCTGTCGTGTGCAGGCGGCAGTTTGCAGTGGCAGTGCGAATCTTTGCGCCGTGCTGGCCGAGGCGTGACGGTTCGCGACACATGATGGGGCCGCGCTCCATGGAACAACGACTGGCAACGGGCAGTGGGTGCCCGGTCCTCGGGACTCCTGCCCGCCCCGCAGGAGAAGTTCAGCATCATCCCGCGCCTGGCGAACATCTTCGACTCCACGGTCTCCAGGCCCCAGGGGGTCTGTAGCGAGAGAGGTCCTGCAGGGGCCCAGACGTCGGCCGCCGAGCTGCCCGCCCCGACGCGGGCCCCCCTGGAGAATGTCTGGGCCCAGAACCCCCCCAGGGGCCCTGCTCTGACCATGGCGACGGGAACGAGATCGACGACGACGACGGCGAGGACGTCGGCTTTGACGACGAGGACGTCTGTTTTGACGACGGTTTTGGCGACGACGACGATGATCACGACGACGACGACGACGATACCGACGACGACGACGCCGACGACGACGACGACGACGACGACCGACGTCGACGACGATGACGACGACGACGCCGCCGACGCCGCCGACGACGACGATGACGACGACGACGACGACGACGACCCCGACGCCGCCGACCTCGTGGGCCTTCCTTTGATTTTGGCCTGGGGCTCAGAGCCCGGAAGCTGGCGCCTGAGGCCGAAGTCGCTGAAGCATCGCAGGTGAGCTTTACTTTCCGCGGAGCCCAGAGGTCAGGTGCTGCCCCCCCCGCGCTCGCTCCAAGCATATTTGCTCTTGGACCTTGCAGGGCCCATTCCGATTCGACCGATCCGATTCGATATCAATCTCGGCTGGCCCGATCCGATGCGACTCCGATGTTCCGACAGTCCGACACGGCCCGATGCTTGCATGGCGCAGTTGCGCATCTTGGCGCAGCCGGTCCGGTCCGATTTCGAGTCCGCGGCGACGCGGCCAGATCCGACGCCCATTCCGGTCCGATCCGATTTCCCGACTGGATGCTGATTGATTTTGCCCTTCCCCCAGACTGCATCCTTCAAGCAGTGGCGAAGCGTCTTGTTTTGCCTACAGCCCTACCAAACAATGTTCTAAGAACCTTTTGTGGTTCCCACGAAATGTTCTCATAACATTTCTGGTTGATGTTGTCTTGCTTTAACACGTCGGGCTTATGTTCTACGAACATTGTTTTGGTTTTTAGAATATGTTTGGGTTCTTCGACGGGGGGATCGACTACGGAATTGCTTTACCCCAAAATTGATTATCACGTCGACTCTTCAACCACAATACGTCAACCATTCGTAGATCTGCAAAAGTTTCACGAATTACCCGTGGATTCGACAAGAAAAAAACAGTTCTGGGGCAAACCAATTCTGTAGTCGATCCCCTACTCGAGTTCTAAGAACATGTCGTGGTAGGGCTACAGGCATGCCGGGGCGGTCGGTCCCTGCTCGAGAGTCCTGGCCCTTGCCAGGTGCGCCCGGCCGTGGCCGCGAGGTGACTTCTTGGCCTCCGCGGCCCCAGGGGGGGATCTGGGCAGGTGTTCGCCTGGGTGTGTGTATATCCGTCAGTATCGGTTCACCGATCCCCATCCCCATCCCCATCCCCATCATCATGCCCACCCACCCACCCTCCCTCCCTCCCTCCCTCCCTCCCCCCCCCCCCCCCCCCCTCCCCCCCCCCCCTCCCTCTCTCCCTCCCTCCCTCCCCTCCCTCCCCTCCTCCCTTCTCTCCTCCTCTCCTCCTCCTCCTCCTCCTCCTCCTGCCTCCTCCTCCTCCTCCTCCTCCTCTCCTCCTCCCCCTCCCCCTCCTGCTCCCTCCTCTCCTCCTCCTCCCTCCTCCTCCTCCTCCTCCTCTCCTCCTCCCCCTCCTCCTCCTCCTCCTCCTCTTCCTCCTCCTCCTCCTCCTCCTCCTCCCCCCCCTTGAGACCCCCACCAAATTACCACCCCAGTTGGGAATGCACCCCGCACCCCTCGAAACCCGAAGGGAACGGCCTGCATCCCCATCAAGGGGGGTAAAACGGCCAGTGGGGCCCAGGCCACGCCGCTGGGGATGGGGATCGGTTAAAGGATGCTCATCCTGGGGCCGACCTGACTGATCTTTTCGATTCTAAAGCCGAGCATCTGAGTACAGTGGAGGCCCATGCAAGAAGCAGCCTTATCGCCTCCAGGGTGCCCTGGGTGTCTTGGGTTTCGATGGTTTGGCGATGGAAAGCGCGACGTGCCCACGCCAACCATCCATGGACGTCCTGGGGTCTCAGGGTTGGGTTTCTTGTGAAGGGTTCTTGTGGTCGGGTCCCCACTGTATATCTTGCTGGGGCCGCCCTGACGGACCTTTTCGACTTTAAAGCTGGGCATTTGAGTAAGAAACCTCCTGACGGAAATCAGCGCCAACGTTTCTTAACCAAATTACGGGAGAGGTGGCCCAGTTGTTTGATCGCATTCGCCCCTCCAGCGTTGATACGCACACTTGGCCGAAGTCTGTCTTCAGGAACTTCTGGGAGGTTGACCCAGGCTTCTTATTCGTGTTTTGGGCTGTAGTTCGATTCTCGTTCGACTTGAGTTCGACTCTCGTTCGACTCGAGTGCGACTCGAGTTCGACTCTAGTTCGATTGTCTTGATCTTGTTTTCGGCTGTAGTTCGACTCTAGTTCGATTCTCGTTCGACTCGAGTTCGATTCAGGTCGAAATCGAGTCGAGTCTGCTGCGAGACTGCGCGGGCCTCCTCCGGGACGCCATGGGAGACCCTCAAAAAGCCCCCGCGACGTGCCGTCAGGGCGGCTGCACCAGTCCGAGGGCTCTCCCAGAAGGGCGTGGCGTCGATTGCAGGTACAGTCGGACCGAGGTCAGGAGGGAAAAAGACACACAGACACAGTGAATCGTCGATTCCCCAGAAAATATAAGAAAATATGGGAATCGGGGGGGGAAGGCAAGAACACAGAAAATAATGGAAAATCTGAGGAATCCTGTTATTTGTGTGTATTTATTTGTGTGTCCCAGGGCCCCTTGAGAGGTGGAAGATCGAGGTCGGTTCGGGGAGGGTGCCCTTCCTTTTCTTCGTGCTTGTCGGATGTGCTTGTGCATCCTTGGGGAGGGCACCCTCGAGTGATGTGGCTGGCGGAGGGTCGTATGCTCTTGAGGGGTGGTCTTCTGGCCCAGGTCTGGCCGTAAGGGGGGCCCTTCGCCGGAGTGACCTTTGCTGCGGGCCGAACCACCCACCAAGCCACCCCAACCCAGCCCGAAGGCTTCAATTTGCCATCCATTTCCAGAGGTGGGGGGGTCGGGGAACGTTGAAAAATACACATGGAAGCCGTACCCCCCCCGCAACCCGAAATTCAGACCTTCGGGTTTGGTTGGGGTGGCCTGGTAGGCAACTGGTCACCTGCTGGGGCCCCTCGGTCTCGTCGAGCCCGATGCGACAGCAGCGGCCTGCGCGCTCGCGGGGGCTCAGCCCCTCGCGCGCCCCCAGGAGCCGCGCACCAGGACAAGGGCACCCTTTGAGGAACGGAGCTCCCGAGGGCGCATGGTTACTGCGAGGACTTGGAGGAGGACTTGGAAGGAGGACGTGGAGGAGGAGGAGGAGGAGGAGGAGGAGGAGGAGGAGGTGGATAGGAAGGAGGAGGAGGGAGGAGGAGGAGGAGGAGGAGGAGGAGGAGGAGGAGGAGGAGGAGGAGGAGGAGGAGGCGGAGGAGGAGGAGAGGCGGAGGGAGGAGGAGAAGGAGGAGTGAGGAGGAGGAGGAGGCGGAGGAGGAGGAGGAGGAGGAGGAGGAGGGGAGGAGGATGAGGAGGAGGAGGAGGACATGGAGCGAGAAGGAGAGGAGGAGGCGGAGGAGGAAGGAGGAGGAGGAGGAGGAGGAGGAGGAGGAGGAGGAGAAGGAGGAGGAGGAGGAGGAGGAGGGGAGGAGGAGGAGGAGGAGGAGGGAGAGGGGGAGGGGGAGGGGGAGGGGGTGGGGGAGGGGAGGGGGAGGAGGAGGAGGAGGAGGAGGAGGAGGAGGAGGAGGAGGAGGAGGAGGAGGAGGAGGAGGAGGAGGAGAGAGGAGGAGGAGGCGGAGGAGAGGAGGAGGAGGCGGGGAGGAGGAGGAGGAGGAGGAGGAGGAGGAGGAGGCGGAGGAGGAGGAGGAGGAGGAGGAGGAGAGGAGGAGGAGGATGGGGAGGAGGAGGAGGGAGGAGGAGGAGAGGAGGAGGAGGAGGAGGAGGAGGAGGAGGAGGGGAGGAGGAGGAGGAGGAGGAGGGAGGGGGAGGGGAGGGGGAGGAGGAGGGGAGGGGGAGGGGGGAGGAGGAGGAGGAGGACGGAGGAGGAGGAGGAGGAGGAGGAGGAGGAGGAGGAGGAGGAGGAGGAGCAGGAGGAGGAGGAGGAGGAGGAGGAGGAGGAGGAGGAGGAGAGGAGAAGAGGAGGAGGAGGAGGAGGAAGGAGGAGGAGGAGGAGGAGGAGGGAGGAGGGAGGAGGGGGAGGGAGGAGGAGGAGGAGGAGGAGGAGGAGGAGGAGGAGGAGGAGGAGGGGGGGGAGGAGGGATGGCCTGACAGGGCCTGGGCCCGAGGGCTGAACACCCAGAGGCGCTTGGCCTATAGGCCGCCCCAGGTCTGCCGCGGCTCTTGCCAATGGGTTTTTGTTCGTCAACGGGAGGCTCTGGGCTCCCGCGCTCGTCGCTGGCCGCTGGGCTCCCGCGGGAGGGCCCTGCCAGCGGGCCTCTCAAGCGATGCTTGCCTGCCCTCTCCCCAGTTCTCGCCTCTGCGGTTCGGGGTGCACCAGGACGGGCCCGCTCTGGCCCGGGGCACGATTCCACGCTCGCTGGAGCGCGTGTTGTGTTGGTGCCGGTCTCGGTCGTCTGCCCTCCCATCGGGGGGGTGTCGCATGTGCATCCCAAGGTGTGCGTGCCTGACTGAGGTACACAGCATCCTCATGACAGTGCGCATCTACAACATGTGCTCCCTTCCTTGCTTATCTTTCCTCCTCTATCTGATATTCTCTTTTCTGCCTCTACCTCTGCTTCCTCCTATCCCTCGGCCCTTTCCTGCCCTACCTCTGGTTCCTCACCTCCCCTATGTCCTCGTCTTGCCCTCACCTTCCCGTGGGCGTGGTCCCGTGTGCATCCCAAGGGGCCCCCGGGATGGCCCTCCAGGAGCCCGCAGCGGGCCTCGCCTAGAGGCCCCGAGGCCCGCATGGAGAGGACCAGCCGTCTCGGTCTGTACGTGTCTCCGGGGGTCTTCGGGTGCGTCCAAGAGGGCGGCGATGGCCAGGTGGGCGACGCAAACAAACGGGTTCGTCTTCACCGACATTCGCGCGCAAGTTGCTCGCGTAATCAAGGTCGCGCGGTAGTGCCCTCGTCTCCAGCTGGCGGCCCGCGTAAGCCGCCGCGTAAGATCGCTACGTCATCTCGCGTAAGACCCGTTTTTTTATCGTGTGTGTGTGTGTGCGTACGGATATCGTAGCTCCCTCGCCCCTTCCCACTTCCCTCCGCCCCCGTCGCCGTCGTCGTCGTCGTCGTCGCTCGTCGATGCCTCGTCTTGATGCTGGGTTACGTTGCGATGGTAAACCACTCTCGCTGTTGTCGCCTCGTCGTCGTCGTTGTCGTCCGTCGATTCCTCGTCTTGACGCTGGGCTTCGCTGCGATGGTAGAACCCCCTCACTGTCGTCGTCGTCGTCCCTCGATTCCTCGCCTTGGCGCTAGGCTCCGCTGCGATGGTAAACAAGAGTGGGTGGCGTGACCGGGGCCGTGTCATCTCCCAGATGTCACAGCCACCCTTGCTCTTTCAACACGTCACGTCCCCTGGCCCCCCACGCTCGTCCGCGCACATGCCTCGGATCATGATGCGACGATGCGCCCCCCCCCCCTCTCCTGGCCTCCCTCTCTGGCGCACCCGAGTCCCCCCGACGTCTCATGGGCTGCATCCTGGCGAGAAGCTCGAGGAGAACCCAACCGTGGCCACGAGGGTGCCGCTGGATGGCCTCACTCGAACCGTTTTTTTTGGGGGGGGGGTAAACACATCCCAAAGCATGGGTCCTCGACCCTCCCCAGACCTCCCACGACTACAGTTCGGAGTCTCGGGATCCCGGACCTCTGGACCACGTCTCCCCCGACCAGTGCTGCGTCCGGGGCCCGGAGCTGGCCTCCAGAGGCCCATAAAAAAAACGCAGACCGTCGGGCCGAGGTATAAGAGCGAGGTCGGTTCGGGGAGGGTGCCCTTCTTGTGCTCGCTGGATGGTCTTGTGCATCCTGGGGGATGGCACCCTCGAGGGCTCTTCGACCTGGCCAGCGGAGGGCCTCCCGTGCTCGGAGGGTGCACTCCTGCCCCGGGTCCGGCTCCACAGCATCGGCCCCGATATGCCCGGGCCTCTGGAGGTCTGGGTCGACAGCTCGCTTGCAACGACGACGCCGCAATGGGTGGAGAAGAGTCATGGGCCTGTTGTCCACCACCACCATCAGTTGGAGGGGAGGAGGAGGAGGAGGAGGAGGAGGAGGAGGAGGAGGAGGAGGAGGGCGACTAAGAGGATGATGATGAGGATGAGGATGAGGAGGCGGAGGAAGAGGAGGAGGAGGACGCCCTCCCCCTCCAACTTATGGTGGTGGTGGTGGAAAACACGCCCATCAGAGGAAGCAGGGCGCGCCTCTCGCGGCGACAAGCGCCCCCTCCGCCCCCTCGCCCCGAGATTCGGTCTCTTTACAACCAGAACAACCACTTTACAACCAGATGGGTTACTTTACAACCAACATAGGATTGGAAATTATGTTTTTTTGCATCGAGAACGTCCACTTTGCAACCAGAACGGCCCACTTTACAACCAGAACGGACCACTTTACAACCAGAACGGGCCACTTTAGAACCAGAACGGACCACTTTACAACCAGCTCAGAGTGGCCGTGCGTGTTTGGGCGTTCCGCAAAGTGCTCCAGAGCAAGTGGGCGCTCTGAACAATGCCCCAGAGCAAGTGGGCGCTCTGAAAAATGCTCCAGAGCAAGTGGGCGCTCTCAAAAGTGCTCCAGGGCGCGCGGACGCTCTGAAAAGTGATCCAGAGCACGTGGGCGCTCTGGAGCCCGAGCGCCTGAACTCTCTGCGCAGGCCCCAGCGATGCCTCTGAGCCCGAGCGCCTGAACGCCCCGCGCAGGCCCCAGCGATGCCTCTGAGCCCGAGGACCTGGACGCTCTGCGCAGGCCCCAGCGATGCCTCTGAGCCCGAGGACCTGGACGCTCTGCGCAGGCCCCAGCGATGCCTCTGAGCCCGAGCGCCTGGACGCTCTGAGCAGGCCCCAGCGATGCCTCTGAGCCCGAGCGCCTGGACGCTCTGGCGCTCTGAGCCCAGCAGACTAAGACAGGGCTTGCTAGCAGGGGCCAAGCGGCCTCAACAAGGGCCCCGTGCTCGCACGGGAATAAGGCGACAGCATACGTAGGAAGGCTCAGGGCGACGCGCTGCCCATGTTAGGGATCACTCACAGGAAGCGAGCCCAGTGGCCTCCACAAGGGCCCAGCGCTCCAGGGAACTAGGCCATTGGCACCGCGGGTCTCTTGGGCCACGTTGGCCCCTGAAGCCCCACGGTGTTCTGCAAGGGGCTAAGTGCGCCAGCTCCAGTTGGCCCCCTGCTGCTCCTCGTCTTGGAAGATCGAGGTTCAACGTTCCGAATAAATGCAACTATTTCGAAGATCGTTTCTTCCAGCGTCAGCCACAGTGCCAGCGCAGCAACGCAGGTATCCTGCTCGGGCAGCAGCCTCAGCCACCGTGCCAGCGCAGCAGCTTGAGCCACCGTGACAGCGCATCACCGCCACCTTTGTGCCTGCTACCACCACACTTACCGCTGCAGCCCCGCTACCTCCACAATTCCGACTGACCCCCCGCTACTACCGCAAATCCCATTGCAGCCCAGCTACCACCACAGTTCCCACCGTTGCCTGGCGACCACCACAGTTGCCACCGCAGCTTCCCAACACCATGCAGTTCCCATTGTAGCCCCCGCTACCACCACATCTCCCACTACAGCTTTCCACTGCCATGCAGCTCCAGTCTTGGACGGGATCATGGTTTATTCGTATGTCCTGCGCGACTAGCCTTCGCCCGTCAGAAAAAAAAGGCAGAGCAAGCAATGGCAGAACTGACCGACAGAGCTTAGAGAGCAGGTCAAAACTCGAATCCGCCCACCAGCACGCAACATACCATAGCGCACCAGGTCGCCGCATCGCCAACTCGTGCGCAGTGCTTCTTCGTGCGCGATGAGCAACTTTACAACCAACATGCCTCAAAGAGCCCAAAGCCACCCTTGCGCTTGCCCACGGAGATTTCAGGGAAAGGCACGCGTGCACTCAATATGTGTTTTAACTTGCCTGGTTGTAAAGTGCCCTTCCTGGTTGTGAAGTGCCCTGCTCGGATTTTGTAAGCTGGTTGTAAACTGACCCATCTGGTTGTAAAGTGCGCTTCCGGTTGTAAAGTGACCCACGCGCCCCTCGCCCCCCCCCCCCCCCTCTGCAGGCGGGTGGCCGTAACCCGCTTCGTGGACTACGCCCCGCTCGTGTTCCAGAGGACCGACGGGCGAGAGGGAGCCTCCCTCCTCCTCCTCCTGCTCCTCTTCCTGCTCCTCCTCCTCCTCCTCCTCCTCCTCCTTCCTCCCTCTCCCCCTCCTCCTCCTCCTCCTCCTCCTCCTCCTCCTCCTCCTCCTCCTCCTCCTCCTCCTCCTTTCTCTCCTCATCCTCCTCCCTCTCCTCTCCTGCTCCTTCTCCTCCTCCTCCTTCTCCTCCTCCTCTCCTCCTCCTCCCTCCTCCCTCCTCCCTCCTTGTGCTCTCCTCTCCTCCTCCTCCTTCCTCCTCCTCCTCTCCTCCTCCTCCTCCTCCTCCTCCGCCTCTCCGCCTCCTCATCCTCCTCCTTTTCCTCCGCCTTCTCATCTGCCTCCTCCTCCTCATTTTCCTCGTCCTCTTTCTCTTTCTCCTTCTTCTGTTCCTCCTCCTCCTTCTCCTCCTCCCGACCTAAGTCGAGCACCGAGGTTTTTTGCCTCTCTCTTGCCTCGCCCCCGCTTGGAGATGCCCCGGGCGGCGAATGTCCCAGGCCCGACTTACGCATAGATGAAGGAAAAACGCCACAGACATGAACCTTTTGGGGCTCCGCGCAGACTCCCTGGAGATCCGCGCTGGGCCCCCCCTCGGCAGCGCCTCCGGCGCCTCCTCTGGCGCGCTCCGCGCGCCAGGGAGGGGGGTCCAGCGCAGATCCAAGAAATCTGCGCCGAGCGCCAAAGGTTTATGCTTATGGCGGTTCTTTATTCACACATCTATATATATATATATATATATATATATATATATAGCTATGTGTAAATGTATAAGTGTATATGTGTGTGCGCTCTCCGCGCGCCATTGAGGGGGGTCCAGCGCAGATCGTAGTTCATGTTTGTGTTTTTCTTCCTTATATATGTAGCCTCACCGAAACAGTCAAGAAGCAGTCTGGCGACGATTTTGTGACTAGTTATGTTTGACTATGTTTTAGCATGTTTGGTTGCATGTTTCATGCTTCGTCAAGAATCCGCCTGTGGGAGGGCATGCCCGACCTGAACGTGGCGCGGCCCCTCCTCTCGGTGAGGGCGGGGCTGCTCCGACCGCTTTGCCTGCGCGCCTCGGCGGCGTCCACGGAGGGCACGCCGCCCATCCCCGCGGGCAGTTCGGTGGGAGGACATGTGGCCCACTCTCTGGGCTGAAGTCAGGCATGTCCCTCTCCAGGAGGAGTGTTCACAAGTAGTTGTTTGAAACATAGTCTGGGGGCAATTCTCGACTACCTTGGGTTATGTTCGGATTTGTTTTGGTCATGCGTTCATCTTTCTTCCAAGATCCGCCTGTAGAAGACATGCCCGACCGAACTCCTAGGCTCGTCTGGCATCGGCGGCGAGCGAGGGGGGGGGGGAAGCGAGGGGGAGAAGGCTTCCTCGGAAGGCGGCGGGGCTTCTTAGAAGCTCTCCTGTCTTCTGAGAAGGTTTCTGTGTCTTCGGGTAAAGCTAAGACATTTTTGTCAGAGAGTCGGGGGCCTTTCGAGCCTTCTGAGAAGGCCCGCCCCTTCTCACTTCCCCCCGGGCTCGGCGCCGATGACAGGCGACATACGCTGTCGCCGGAGGCGGCCATGGAAACACGAGATGGCCCTGCAAGCAGGCAGGGCACGCTATGCAGGGTCGGATCCTTGCAGGCAGCGGCGAGGCTTTCTGCAAGACACGGCTCTGCCGCCGGAAGGGGGGCGTGAGAGTACGTTCCTGCAGTTGTGAGCCTATCGATGGCCCAACACATGCTTGCGAGACAATCTCGCCAAAAGACATGGAAACATATCCGTCAAAGTGGACGGAGATGCAGTCGGTGCGGGCAGCTGCACATGCGTCGGTGTAGCGTGCAGCACCAGTCATTGCGACGGTGCATATGTCGGCGCGAGCGACTGCGTAGTTGTGTGGGCGCCGGTGCCGGTGACAGTGTTGGCGTCGGGCCGGTGTTTTTGACAGAACAGGTGACGGCGCAGGGATGTCGGAGATCGTCTGCACCAGCAATACTGGTGGCAGCAAGTCTGCCCGCAGACCAAAGCCATTGGCGTCTGGGGGGGGCCCCAAGTCGCGCCTGTCGGCTGGCCCGCCTCCGCCTGCCCTGGCCCATTTGGGGCCGCCCCGTTTTTGTGTGTATTGGAGGGCTCCTCCTTTGTGCCTGACTTTCATTTTCACTGTGCAGAAGGAGTGCCTGTAAGCCCAGTAGCCTCAGCGTGTAGGCCGCCCGCAGAAGTGCATTCGGATGGCCGGGAGGCGGCTCCGCCTGGCCAGGCAGGGGCAGCGGAGCCGTGCCGACGGCGGAGGCCACGCGCTGCCCAGTTTGGAGGGGAGCAGTTTAGAGTCGGGCATGTCCGTCTGCAGGAGGAGCATTCAAGAATGGGTGGAACACAATGTGGGGACGATTTCTTCGTCTTTTGTTGTTTCTTCGATCTAAGTTGTTGTTTGCCTATGCTGAATATGTCTTCCAACATCCGCCTGTAGGAGGACATGGCCGACCTAAGTGTAGTCTGGAGCTGCAGAGTTGCGGCGCTGGGGTATGGTTTGGTTTGGGCTACGAAGGAGGGGCTCCGGAATCCGGGCTGGTCCTTCCCTTCTTCTTGCACGCCGGTTAATTATCCTTTCCTCCTCCTCCTCCTCCTCCTCCTCCTCCTCCTCCTCCTCCTCCTCTTCCCCCTCCTCCTCCTCTCCCTCCTCCTCCTCCTCCTCCTCCTCCTCCTCCTCCTCCTCCTCCTCCTCCTCCTCCTCCCCCTCCTTCTCCTCCTGGGGTCCCACGCTGGAGCGGAGTGCCTCTGCCTCGCCGCCGGCGAGCAACAAGTGTGCGGCTGCTCCTTGGGGAGCCATGCCTGGGAGCCCGCGCTCCCGGCCGAGGCTCGCCGTGGCCAGGCACGGTTGCCCCTCAGGCGTTCCTGACCCTGCGCTCCTTGATGGCTGCGTGACGGCTGCACAGTCAAGACCGCACGTTGCCCATCGGTCGCTGAAAGTATGTATTTTTCAAGCAGTGGCGAAGCGTCCTGGCTCGCCTATAGCCCTACCAAACAATGTTCTAAGAGCATTGTGTGGTTGTCACGAAGTGTTCTTAGAACATTTCTGGCTCGGCCTGTCTTGTTCTAACACATGGGGTTTATGTTCTAAGAACTCTGTTTTGGTTATTGGCACATTTTTGGGTTCTAAGAGCATCTCGTGGTATGACTATAAGAATGCCGGGACGGTCGGTCCCTGCTCAAATTTTGGGAGTCCCAGATACCAATCTACTTTAAGCGCCTTCCTGCTTCAATGATCGAGTGGCTTCACCTTTTCCGTCCTCCTCAGGGGGCGGGCGGGGCCCAATCTATTGTGGACGCATCCCTGCTTCATGTTTCCACCTGCTTCTTCCGACCTCTGAGTCAGGATGGGCAACTTTTCCCAGGGTGCCCTTGCATCCTTGCCCCCTCGATCCATCCTTCGCCACGTTCGCCTGCCGCGCCCCGCTCGAGAAGCTTCGACATGGGCGTCCAAGGCCCCTGCATCCTCATCGCGCGTCCCTGCGATACGGGTCGACTGTATGCCTGCGCGACGGCTGCAGGCGGAGCGGGGCGGTGGGGAGTTGCAGGAAGAGCGCCAGCAGCAGCGGGGCGCGGATGAGCAGCAGCAGGGGTGCGGGAAGGGAGGGCAAGCGGGTCGGCCGTGGCCGGCGCTCGGCGATGAGGGCTCGAGAGGGAGGGGAGGATGAGGAGGAGGTAGATTGCGAGGAGGAAGGGCTAGTGTGCGTTTCCTGGGAGGTTGAAAGTCGGATCGGCGCTGGTAGATCCGCTGTCGAAAGCCGGCCTATTGCGGTCCCATTTGCATCCCGTTACATCCGGCTTAATCCAGCTTGGTCTTGGACGCAATCTGGCCTTACTCTGGCGTCGCGGACCATGAACCGTGCCCGAGCCCGTAAACGTTCTGATAGGAGGCCATACATGAACCCTACCCCACCGCCCCACGGTTTCTCAGGGGGAAGGTGGGGCTCACTTCGTTCGGGACATCCTGAGCAAAGTGAACCCCACCTCCCCTCTTCGAAATCGTGGTGTGGCTGGGTGCTGTTCGCATGCTGCTTCCTATTTATCGAAGACGTCCCAGGAGGTGTTTCTTAAGAAGGAAATGGCTTGTTGCCCCGACATCCGACGTCACGGCTTTTTCGTGACGTGGATATTTGAAATTCTCGGCACCCTCCCGTGGACGGTTTTTTCTGCCCCGGCAGTTTGTTTTCTGCCCTTGTGCTGGAAGCGGGCCCCCAGCATCTGGCTGTGGCTTGGGCGAAATGGGCCTGGGCCATCCTGGGTGATCGGAGTGGTCCGAGAGTTTGCACGATGCCCTTCGCCTTGTTGTTGTTTGCAGTTCTTTATGTATGTCTGTCTTTATTCCTCTTTCTCTTTCTCTCTCTCTCTCTCTCTGTCTCTCTCTATCGTGCCGCCCACCGTTCCTGCTTGCGCGTGCTTTGCCTGCCCTAGGCTGTGCATACATATATATATATATATGCATATAGATAGATGGATAGATTGATTGATATTTGGATTGATTGATAGTTAGTTAGATAGATAGATAGATAGATAGATAGATAGGTATGGAGACGTATATACACATGCGGATGCGCGTAGGAATGATGGATGCCCGACGCCCGCGCTGGTTGCAGGGGCGAGGGCAGGAGCACGTGGGCTCTGCGCCACTGCGGGGCCCCCGTTCTGTCGGAAACCGGCGCGTCCCCTTCCCAGGGCAGGCCACAGTCTTCCCCAATGTGGTTGGCGTAGACTGGTGTTTTTTTGCTGCCAGCGCGCAGATCATGTGAGATGTGCATGCGCACTTACAGGCACGCATACATCCGTGATTGTGCTCATGTGTTTTGCATGGGCGCACGTGTGTGTATACATATGTATATGCATGTAGACATGTGTTTCAATCCATTGTTATCTATATGTATGTGTCGATGCCTGTGTGTGTGTGTTTGAATAGGGCTACACATGTATGGGGAGAGAGAGAGAGAGATAGAGACAGAGACCGCGATAGAGAGAGAGAGACAGGGAGAGAAGGAAGAAACACACACAAGCAGGAGGAATACGCGGACGACGATTGGAGAAGGGGATGAGAGGGAAATACAGCGAACCTGACGGCGCAACACCCGCTTCAACAACTTGTAAATGCTCCAGGACGGGAGGAGGAGGAGGAGGAGGAGGAGGAGGAGGAGGAGGAAAACGGGATAACAGGGAGCAGGAGGGGCGGACTGCCAGCGTCGGCGTGCGTCTGGCACTGCGGGCGCGTGGGGGGCCGCCGCGGCTTAGGATCGCTGTGGAACGTTGCCGCTGGATGGCAGGGGGCGACTGAGGAGGAGGAGGAGGAGGAGAAGGAGGAGGAGGAGGAGGAGCAGTTGCAGCAGGAGCAGGAGGAGGTGGAGGAGGAGAAGGAGAAGGAGGAGGAGGAGGAGGAGGAGGAGGAGGAGGAGGAGGAGGAGGAGGAGGAGGAGGAGAGGGAATAGAAGGAGGAGCAGGACGAGGATGAGGAGGAGGAGGAGGAGGCGCAGGAGGAGGAAGACCCCTCTGGCCTCTCGGGGCGGGCGCGCGGAGGATCCGCGCGGGCTTCGGCATCCGCCACGAGGACTACCTGAAGTCCGTGGGGCCCGAGCAGCTGCTCGGCGCGAGCGCCCCGCCGTGCTCCCCCACGATCGGGAGGAGGAGGACCAGTATGGAGGAGGAGGAGGAGGAGGACGAGGAGGAGGAGGAGGAGGAGGAGGAGGAGGACGAGAACGAGAGGAGGAGGAGGAGGAGGAGGAGCAGGAGGAGATAGGAAGAGGAGAGATGGAGGAGGAGGAGGAGGAGGAGGAGGAGGAGGACGAGAACGAGAACGAGAGGGAGGAGGAGGAGGAGGAGGAGGCGGAGATAGGAAGAGGAGAGATAATTGGAGGAGGAGGAGGTGGAGGAGGAGGAGGAGGAGGAAGAGGAGGAGGAGGAGGAGGAGGAGGAGGAAGAGGAGGAGGAGGAGAAGGACCAGTGATGGTGCAGTAGACTCTCCGCGAAGTTCCTTCTTTCGAAGCAGAAATAATCGCCATCATCATAAACGTTTAGCGTTCCGCGCGGATTTCTCGGATCGGCGCTGGGCCCCCCCAGTGGCGCCTCCGGCGCCGCCCTTGGCGCGCTCCTGGGAGGGGGGCCCGGAGCAAGTTTATGTTTGTGTGTATATGTCTTCCTCTTTTCTTCATAAGTTCTACACGAAGAAGTTCTCATTTCGGGAAGTGCCCCACGGGAAGACAAACGCTCGAGGATCTTCAATCGTGCCACAGTGCCCGTCCTGGGACTTCAACGCCGCGCAGGAGGCATCTGTTCCCAGACCCCTTCGCGTCGTGACACACATGGCGAGCGGAGGTTTTGTGGCAGTGTTCGGCAAAGAGGGGCGGTCGAAAGGGGCAGGCGCAGTCCAGAAGCCATCTTGGGTCCAAGGGCAGGCGACAAGACGACTCGGGATGAAAAGCCGGTCCCGGGGAAGGGGTCCCGACGTCTGAGGGTCCACGTCGTGGAAAAACATGTCATCGGGGTCTGGTTTGTGAGCTTCCGCTGCGACGTGACTGCGCATCCTGGGGCCAACGACCTCAGTTCCTAGAACTCGCGTGAGGACCCTTCGGGCCGCGTTCCCATCGGCGAGCGCAGCAGCAGAAGGAGGAGGAGGAGGACGAGAACGAGAGGGAGGAGGAGGAGGAGGAGGAGATGGAGGAGGGTCGAGGATCGTGGTGCCTGGACGCCTTTCGCTGTGCTCTGGGCCGCAGGATGTCTCTGGGGTCCTCTCTGCCCTCCGGCCCTTTGCCTCCCCGGGGATCCGAGGCCTTGGCTCTTCGGGAGCCTTGAGACGGGGGTCAATGCAAACGGGGGTCAGCCAGGGCACCGGATCCTGCACGATCCTGCGAAGACCCCCTCTGGCTGACCCGGGTTTGCGAGCCGCTCGTGGCCGCGAGGCGGCCGCGCATATTGGTTGACCCGGGTTTTCGAAGACCTGCGTGGCAGTTTTTTTGTCCCGCGGTGCTGTTTCTTGGCTTCCTGCTGGCCCGGGTTTGGATTGCACCGGGTCAGCAGGTCCCCGAGGTCTGGCAGTACCAGCCCGTCGAAGCTCCGAGCGCTGTCCCCCAGGGCCGGCGCGCTGCACCGCGACTCGTTCCGTCGACGGCCCCAGGGCGGCGACCCACCGCCCTGCCGCTTCGGTTCAGTTCGGGCAGCGCGAGGGGGGGGGGGAATTGGGGAAAGTCGGGGGCGGCAAAGAGGGGGGTGATGACTAGGGGGTGGGGATCTCTTGGCGTGGGCCATGATATTTCCCCAGATTTCATGGCGCCTCTTCTTATCTTACGTATACGTCCCTCCCCGCCCCCCCCCCCCCCCCTGGGCCGCGCACATGCCGCCGGCCATGATTTGCATCCCCCCCTCTTGGACGCCCCCCTCTTGGCCGCATGCTGCTAGTTTGCTGCTAGTTTCGGCACCCCTCTTGGACGCCCCCCTCTTGGTACGAGCTCTGCTGCATGCTGCTAGTTTCGGCCCCGACGCCAGGCCCACTCCTCGATGCACGGGCGCCTCCGGTGCCGGGAGGCGCCAGAAAATCGGCTACGTGAGCGGATTCTCATTCCCCCCTTTGCTATCCCCCCCTTTCGCCCGACCCGAAAGTGGTTGCTAAGGTGGGTGATGTTCGGACTAGCCTATCTTACAAGTGAGCCGCAAGCGTCCTGAGTAGCTCAGGGGGCGTAGATGCGGGAAACATCGGCTACGTGAGCGGATTCTCAACCCCCCTTTTGCTATCCCCCCCTTTCGCCCAGCCCGATCCGTGCGCCCGGGAGGCCTGGGCTCCCCGAGTCCTCCTCGCTGCACGGCGCCAGCATCGCAGAGCGGATGTCGTTCGGAAAATGTTAACGGCAGGATGGGCCTGGAGTGTCCTGGAGAATTTCGCTCCGGATTTCGAGGGGAATTCCGCACGTTTTTGGTGGGGGGCCAGGGATGAAGACCACAACACATCCACGCGACATCCACGTCGTTTTTCATTCGCCGCTTCGGGCAAACATCCACGCCTAAATCCACGCAGAGACCCGCTGCAGCAAGTCTGCCAGGCCAGTGCAATGACTCATTGCAACCCTTTTTATTATACTCCTTGGCGTCAACAGCCGTGCCGGGGGGGGAGAGGCGGGTGTTCATCTAAAAGTGCTCCTGGCCCAAGGTGCCCCCAGGATTTCCAAGGAGGCCTCCTAAGCCTCCAGAGCACCCCTCACGAGGGCCAGAGAGCCTCAGGCGCTCCAAATGAAGGGGAAAGCTGGGGACACCTTGGGCCAGGGACACCTTCAGCACTCCCCGAGAGAGGGGTCCGATAACGTCACGATTCGCGCTGGCGCCGTCTGAGAATGCTTCGATGAGAATGGCTAATTCCCCGACGGCGCTGGCGCGAATTGTCACGTGACGAGTCGGGGCTCAAGAGACGGGGGTCGATGCAAACGGGGGTCAGCAAGAGCGCCAGATCTTGCAGCATCCTGCAGAGCCAGGGGTGCATTGACCCAGGCTTGGGTGCAGTGTCCTGCAGGATCTTGCAGGATCTTGCAGAATACTGTAAGGCCTGACTGACCCGGGTCTGGATTGACCCGGGTCAGTACCGGATGGTTCCAAACGGGGTTGTTGGGGAGGGGGTATTTCAGAGAGCCCCGCAGGGGCCTCGGAACCTCGTCAAAACAGGGGGTGTGAAGCCCCTGGGGGACCCCTCCTGGAAAGCCCCCTCCCCAGAAACCCTTCAAAATAGAGAGTGCGAAGCCCCTGGGGGACCCCTCCTGGAAAGCCCCCTCCCCCCCCAAAAAAAACCCTGGGGGACTGGGAGCGGCCTCGAAGCTGTGGTGCCTCGCCAGTGAAAAAAAAGAGGAGGGACGGGAGCGGGAACTTTCCCCCTCTGGAGCCCTCGGGCAGTAGATCCCCAAACGAGGGGAGGGAGGGAGGGGCCGCTCACGGGCTTGACCGCGAATGCGAGGCAGCTGGGTGCTGGATCCCTCGCCGCCGAGACAGGAGGAAGGGCGGAGGGCGGCGAGCGGCGGCGCGCCCAGCCGGCGCGAGGCAACATGATCCTCGGCAACCTGTCCTCCCTCTCGGAGCTCTCCTCCGAGGCCTGCCCCACCCCCCATCCTCCTCCTCCTCCTCCTGCTCCTCCTGCTCCTCCTCCTCCTCCTCCTCCTCCTCCTCCTCCTCCTCCTCCTCCTCCTGGGGTGGCAGGAGGAGGAGGAAGAGGAGGAGGAGGAGGAGGAGGAGGAGGAGGAGGAGGAGGAGGAGGAGAAGGTCGAGGAGGAGGTCGAGGAGGAGGAGGAGGAGAAGGAAGAGGAGAAAGAGAAGGAAGAGGAGGAGGGCAAGATGAGACAACGGTGCTTGGCAGTCGGGGGTGGCCCTTGTCGCCACAGCTGCACCAGCTCGGAAAACTGGTGAGCCACGGCTGGCCCCTGGGAGGGTTCCGGGCTCCGACTGGGAAGGCCTTGCTGCCGGCGCTGCCGACCCTTAAGTGGGACGAACGATGGCGGCGTCGGCGGCGACGACGGCGATGACGTGAGGCAGAGTCCTCAGTGATGCTTCGTGGGGCCTCTTTGGAGAGCGCGCTTGCAGACCTCCGGGGGGCAGTTTTGGATCATCTTGGGAGCCTCTTGGGGGCCTCTTGGGAGCCTCTTGAGGGTCCCGTCGGGCTTCCTGGGAGCCTCTTCGGCTCTTTGGTGCCTCTTTGGGCCACGTGTGGGCTCCTTGGGGGCCTCGTGGGGCCCTCTTGGAGCTTCTCGGGGCCGAGGGCTGGAAATGTTCGTTCGGGCTCCCGTGTGGGCACCCTCTTGGAGCCGTTTTGGGGGCCTCTTGGGTCGTCTGGGAGGCCTCCAGAGCTGTCTTGGGGCCTTCTTTGGTCGTTCTGGGGCCGCCTTGAAAGAAAAAACTCTTGGGACCCTCTTCTGCCGATCTTGGCGGCATCTTGGGCCGTCTTGGGGCGTCGGGGAGCCCAAAAAGCGAGAACGCCAGAATCTTCCCAAACCCCAAACGAAAATTATCCGTAAGGGCTTCGCCCCCTGCCGCCGGCCCCCTCTCTCGGAGAATGCGCCATGGAAGAGCTAAGTCATGAGGCCTTGGCGCTGTCGTGAAGCAGTATCGAAACTTCATGCGAAGCCGATTCGCAATCAGCAAAACCAACTGATCACAAGAGGGGTTACCACACCTGGCCATTGGTAAGACGTGTATGGTTTACGGGCTTGGTTACCACACCTTGCGATTAAAGGGCCGAGGAAGTTCTCGCAGTTTGGGTTACCACGCCTTGCGATGGATGTGCGTGAAGGGTGGCACAGAATTTCAGAAATGTGGTAAATCCCCTGTGTTTTTGGACCCTGACCCTGCGGATCTGCGTGAGGGGTGGCGCCGAATTTCAGAAATGTAGCAAATCCCATATGTTTTTGGACCCTGACCCCGCGGATCTGCGTGAGGGGTGGCACCAAATTTCAGAAATGTGGCAAATCCCATGTGTTTTTGGACCCTGACCCCGCGGATCTGCGTGAGGGGTGGCAAATCCCATGTGTTTTTGGACCCTGACCCCGCGGATCTGTGTGAGGGGTGGCACAGAATTTTAGAAATGGTGCAAATCCGCTTGTGTTTTTGGACCCTGACCCCGCGGATCTGCGTGAGGGGTGGCGCCGAATTTCAAAAATGTGCTGAATCCCATGTGTTTTTTGACCCTGACCCTGCGGATCTGCGTGAGGGGTGGCACCGAATTTCAGACATGTGCTAAATCCCCTGTGTTTTTTGATTCTGACCCCGCGGACCTGCGTGAGGGGTGGCACCGAATTGTAGAAATGTGGCAAATCCGCTGTGTTTTTGGACCCTGACCCCGCGGATCTGCGTGAGGGGTGGCGCCGAATTTCAAAAATGTGGTAAATCCCCTGTGTTTTTGGACCCTGGCCCCGCGGATCTGCGTGAGGGGTGGCACCGAATTTTAGAAATGTGGCAAATCCCATGTGTTTTTGGACCCTGACCCCGCCGATCTGTGTGAGGGGTGTAGATTTCGAGCCCCCCCAGCAATTCAGACAACGCGCCCAGGAGGTGCTAAATATTTGGTTTGGGCCTCCCCCCCCTCGCGCGGTCAATCAACTAGTTACAGTAACCAGCAAGAAGCAGAACTGTAACACTGGAAACTACAAGCTACAACTGGTACAGGAAACTGCGAATCCCGCTCCTACAGCCTGGTGGCCCCACAAGGGGGCCGGCGGATCTAAGTTGTCCTTTTGAGGCCCTCTCGGTGTCCACTTTCTTGCAGGCCTCTTTTTCCAAATGTGGAGGACGAGGAGGAGGAGGAGGAGGAGGAGCACCAAAGTAAACCAAAGGCGCCTCAATGATGTTGTGATTAAACCTCCCTTCAACTTCCTTCATCCCAGGGCCCCACAAGAATTAACTATCATTGTGGGAATTGCCTCATTACGAGACAACCGTCTGAGAATCTGCAGTCGTGGCCAAGCACCATTTCTGGGACTTCACCCCAGCGGATCAATGTGACAGTTCCGTCCGGACAACGTTAAATTCGCGCCAGAATTCACTACCTGGGACTTCATCGCCGCGAATCAACGTGACCGTCGCATCTTGGCAATCCTGAAT